TAGATTGTGTACTTTTTTGACACTAAAGGAAAAAATTAAGACCTGGATAAATATATAACAAATACACTTATGATGCGAAACTCATTACTTCTAACAACGCTTTATTGCATCATAATTTACGTTTCGACAAAAAACAATACTTTTTAAAGGGTATTTCAACTATGAAGTTATATGAACCCTCGGGGTGCCGGTGTTTTTGAAAAAAGCATATTTTTAAGTATGTCGGGTTCGAATGCAGGGCCGCTGGACTCGAACCCCGGACCTTTACATTACAGTGAGGAACGCCTTGTCAACGCTTAAAACGTTGCGGCCACCGACACCCCTTACTATTATTATTATCATGAACAACAAAAATGTTATTTTTGTAAATGATTATCATTTTTACTGTTTTGACTTATTGCAGCATTTTTACGCCACTTTATGTCAATATGATCTACAATCCCGATTATCTACGCTTATTTTAATAATTTATTATGTGATATTAAATAATTTCCTATTTTTTGTCATAAAATACATTAAGATATGAAAACCCCCAAGTGGAACGTAATTTCATGATTTTCATTTTAGATTTGTTTTGCATAAATAACTGTTTGCCGTTGCTGCTCTGGTTTTCATTCATTGCTCCGGCTTCCGTGCCAATTCCCCACTGGAAAGTACAACAACATTAATTATTTTCCTGAAAACGCACTGTGAGCAGCGTCAGAGCGTAAATCCTTTTTTAAGTTTTCGATCCCGGAAATCGGTCGCAATCAAACATGAACGGCTTTGTTTAAATGAACCGACTCGATTGCTTGCTTCCGACGTGTTCAGGTTATGAAAGAATGCATCCTAGTGTTTTATGCCCTTTTGTTCAGCCCAACGTTCAGATCCGGTTGTACACTGACATCGTACAGACGGTGCTGGAAAGTGGTCATCGATTTTTTGGAGGTTCGTCCTACTTTTTTGTGGAATTCCACCATCAAAAGTTGAATCAAGTCCTTGAAAGAGGTTATCTTAAAAAAGAAGAATAAGCAATTTTTTGACTATAAAAAATTGTAAAATATATTTATTTTTATATATTTATTTATATAAATAGATATATTTTCGAAAGAAGATTGCTGATGAATAGATGTTTAAGTCCCTGAATAGAAATTTAAGTGCATATATTAAGAATGAATAGAAGTTTATACATTTATTATGTTTTGCATGTTAAGGAACCGGCTTTCGTTTCTTTATCCTGTTGGCCCCTCGCAACCTCAGGGCTCGTCAATCAAAGATAAATATAATAAACTAAACTTTATAATAAACACATATAATAGAAATATATACATTTAAATACAAGTTAAGCTGGTTAGCATCCATACTGCGCCTGAGTACCGATATTCCTCGGGGAATGGGGGGAGATATTCACGCTAATAAATTACTTTCAAGTAATTAATGTTTTTATGTAAAGTATTGGTTGAAATGAAAAAGTGTCACGAGCGGGATTCGAACCCACGACCTTCGGCTGGTGGTTTCGAATCCCGCTCGTGACACTTTTTCATTTCAACCAATACTTTACATAAAAACATGTCGGTTTATTAGAACCATTAGGATTCTTTCAATTAATTAATGTTTTTATGTAAGGTATTGGTTGAAATTAAAAAGTTAGTGTCACCAGCGGGATTCGAACCCACGACCTACGGCTGGTGGTTTCGAATCCCGCTCGTGACACTTTTTCATTTCAACCAATACCTTATATAAACTAACCATCCCTAACCATTACATTCACACACACACACACACACACACACACACACACACACACACACACACACACACACACCTTCATTCACACTGCCCCATAATACTTGATATCCCTCGAGGTCTTTACTGCCACAGTAATAAATTACTTTTACTCTGTACATTGTTACAAATAAGATAGATTCACATTTTTCATTCAAGCTAATATGTACACCCGTTCCAATAAACATATATATTGCATTGTTTTTTAAACTCCTCAACGTTCAACGTTTGCAACAACAAAAAATAGTAGACGACCGTTTCACTTGATCAAACATTGGCATACGGTGGATTTTATAATCTACGTATTAGTGTTATCGCGTATGGTAGGATTTTCACGTTCAGCTCACAATCAATCATTCATAATCAAAATTTAAACTGGAACTCCTAAAGGTCAGGAAAATTTACGATTTTTAAACTTTTATTACGACATATGGAACCCTTTCGTAATTATATGTTCTGATAAGAAAGGATTAAAAATTTGAAATAAGCTTACATTTCAGAAGTGTTTCCCCGTTTCAGAAGCAGAGAAAACCAGGATGGCACTTTCCACTCTGCTTGAATTCAATTCAAGACTGTTGTAAATAATTAAGTTCAAACACATGAACTCATTGTTGCTCAAAATGAATTGTTTTGTATCATTTGTCATGTTTAAAAACCTAGGAACAAAATATGAAAATGTATACTTTAAATTGGCGATCATTTTCCTACGTCCTCATTTTATAAAGTCGCGAAAAATGCCGAGTGTTTACATAGTTTTTGATTTGTTGACTGTGACAGTATTTATGACGGCACCCTTGAGAACAATTGTAAAATATACATCAGCATATAGTTTCCGTAAAATCAGGCAATTGTACTCAAGCAAAAGCCTTGCAGGATAAAATCTGAGGACGGGATCTATTCTTTTATGGTGGTGCTGCAAGGGTCGACCGACCGTCCTTGGCCTAGAAGCAGCCGGTGTAAAACAGCTGAGAAACATATGTAAACAATCCCATTCACCGATCCAGGGCTTTAAATTGAACCTTTTGGCCGACACATAATATAACGGGATGAAAAGATGGCCAAATTAGGCAAATTTATTTTATTTGTTCGAAATTATGATTACTACATTATTTTATCAGGTCATTAAAATATTTTAATTCCTCTCTAGGTCGTACAAATTCCAGTGTCTACAATCCAAATAGGTTTTATATTTAGAGTTAATAAGTAATTCGCTCGTAGTACAAATCAGAGATGATCTTGATAAATCTTGATAAATATCTTTGATTAATAATAGTAAACATTCTCAATTAAAAACCGTCAAAAGGACCAGTTCAAGCATATTTATACAAAAACAAATGTTTGATGTGAAAGATAATATTATAAGATGATGGAGGATGTTGGTCTGAGATTCGGTGAACTTCACGTACTTAAAAACTGTACACGGTCTCAGTAAATGACCCAGTGCTGGTTTTAACGACCTTCATCATATGTCCTTCAGCAAGGCTTAGATTTAGAAAAAAAAGAAACATAAAAGGCAGAATATTTGCCGGGATGTAAATTAGTAAAAATGTTAAAAAGTTGGTTACACTGTTGGTTATTTATAGGCCAGATTGAACTTAATTCTTGTGGCTATTATAGACGAAACTTTATATTTTAACAAGCCATTTTTTTTCCGGTAGAGACTCAATGTTGTTCCGGTTCTTAAGTAGGTACTATTTATTTTCTACGCCAGTGTAATCAACTGTATTATTAAACATTTATCGACACCCATGTTTCTAGATATTTATACCGAAACCGTGCTATCGTTCTGGTGGTTTGAACAATTTCTTACTTTTTCGAATATTTGTTGTCATGTAATCAATTCCATTCTCTCTCTCTCTTTCTCTCTCTCCCTTCTCTCTCTCTCTCTCTCTCTCTCTCTCTCTCTTTCTTTCTTTCTTTCCTTCTTTCTTTCTTTCTCTCACTCATTCACATTCACTCTCTCTCTTTCTTTCTTTCTCTCACTCACCCATTCACTCTCGCTCTTTCTTTCTTTCTTTCACTCACCCATTCACTCTCTCTCTTTCTTTCTTTCTCTCACTCACTCATTCACTCTCTCTCACTCATTCTCTCTCTCTTTCTTTCTTTCTTTCTTTCTTTCTCTTACTCAATCACTCTCTTTCTTTCTTTCTTTCTCTCACTCACTCATTCTCTCTCTCTTTCTTTCTTTCTTTCTTTCTCTTACTCAATTACTCTCTTTCTTTCTTTCTTTCTCTCACTCACTCATTCACTTTCTCTCTTTCTTTCTTTCTCTCACTCAATCACTCTCTCTCTTTCTTTCTTTCTCTCACTCAATCACTCTCTCTTTCTTTCTTTCCTTCTCTCACTCACTCATTGCTTAAAAAACAAAATTGCTGCCTTAAAATTTAAGGCTTGCTGGTGCCGAATTTTAGTTATAAATTTATAGAAAACTTTATAGTATTAATATTATTATAAAGTCCATTATATTTCGTGGTCCGATTGACCAAATAACTTCTGACCAAATCTTTATGTAAGGTATGAAAAAGTCAGTGTCACGAGCGGGATTCGAACCCACGACCTTCGGCTAAATACGCCATTGCTCTACCACTTGAGCTATCGTGACTTCAATCCACTCGGACACCAACTGACTTCAACGTACCTTTCGAATTTTCCCTCCTTTTTGCCATTTTTCATTATTACACGACATTTGAAAAATGGCAAAAAGGAAGATGTCCGAGTGGATCGAAGTCACGATAGCTCAAGTGGTAGAGCAGCGGCACATTTAGCCGAAGGTCGTGGGTTCGAATCCCGCTCGTGACACTGACTTTTTCTTACATAAAGATTAATTAATAATTGTAAAGGTTTTTCTTTTATTTTTTCTAACCTAACCTAATAATAATTATATTTCTACATAAAGAATTCATCTATACAACACAGATTTTTAATTATGTGAAATAACAGACGATCCTACAAAAATTAAACCTTAAAAATGAACAATAATTATTGATAAACTGTTAAAACATTAATATCTTTCTCTATCAATATGGTAATAGACAGTATAAATAATACTTTCTTGGAAAATGTTTAATGGGAAAAACAAGGACGTTTATATCCTAAATGCTTACTCTGATGCACAGTAAAATCTTACTCAGCGTAAGGATCGTTCCCAACGTTCTCAAAAATATATTTTTACAAATAATATACTTATAGTAGAACTTTTTTATTGTTGATTAATAACTAACTTTCTCTTTTTTCAGCTACCAATATGCCGTCTCCAAAGAAGGGGTTTTTCTCCAGACTCAACGGTATGGATTTTTTTTTACCAATTGTGATATTATACAATTGACGTTTTGTTTGTTTTGTTCGGTAGTATATTTTAATTAAGATCGTTTTAAATCGTTCCGGGTCAATAGATTAAGCGATACGTTATAAAAACAACCACTATCAACAACTAACGCAAGCTAAAGTTTCGAGTTAATTGTTATGTGCGTTCTTCAAGGTTAAAATTCAATTGAATATTAATCGGAATATTTTTACATTTAGATTATCTGCAAATAGAGCTTTAGTAACCCACGTTATAACAGATTATCAGTTAATTTTTAAACGCCGAGGAGGATAGACAGTTTGACTAAGCTATTCGGGAATGACCTAAGCTGATTTTAAATTTGGATTTATCAGCGAATAAAACGATTTGACATATGACGATTCTCAGTAGTTTGCGAGTTAAATTGTTAAAGCATTGAACACAAATAAAATTGTTTAAGAATTTGAAACAGCGGTACATGTCATTTAAAATACATTTATGTATTAACTTTATGATTTTTTATGTTAAAAATGAGATTAAGTGTTACTAGATTGCCAATCTAGACTTATTGATATTAGTTTTGATCAAGCCCAACAAGGCAAAGACCTCTAGTATAAATATTTTATTAACAATACGTCATTAATTATGCACGTATTAGCTAACTTTTTTATGTTATTTTTTACCTTACCGATTTGAGCTAATTTTTGTATTAATTTTAAACCGATGCTTCTCAGTTTAAATATATCTAGTATAGTAAACAGAAGGTAATATCACAATACTTCGGTTTACAAATTAACTTTTCATTTATGAATCATGTTGCATTATAGCTTCATAGTTTAATTTTTTATTCAATTTAAATATGTCCATAGTTATTCAGAAATCGTGAGATCACTAATCACCACACATATGTCCATAGTTGTCCTTCTCCTTTGGTATTTTGCCCCATGCCTCCAGAGATGCGTTTAGAGCTGTTACTGAGCCATAACGGTTCAGATTTGGTCAGTTTGTGCTACTCTTGTCTCCAATAATCACAGTATGTAGTCTTCGAGATATCATCCTTACTACAGCCTCGGGGACAGTGTTCAGCGGATCACCCAACGCAACGATTCAGCATTGATCAGGTCCTCCTGGTTCGTTTTGCGAACCTCACCTGGAGTCCTTCATTCGAAACCTTGTCTGTTAAAATGGAGTCATGGAGGCCATACAGCCTATCCGGGTTTATTTTAGTCTCAGGATAGCAGGCAGCTACCAAAGTGACGATTACTGTAGCCAGGATTTTTCTTAAGAGTTGCTCCATCTGCGTAGACCAGGTCTCTTGAATTGCTGCTTTTTGGCTTCAACGTATGCAACCGAAGCAGTCGGGCGAAATGCATCTCTTCTACTGCCTGTTCTAGACGCCGAGTTTATGGCTTTTTGTTATTTTTATTTGACTTTTTGCCTAGTGGATCCGCAGTTGTCCTTAGGAGGTTTTCCAGCATAACTGACCTTTTGTGCTCAACTTACGCAACTGATGCTTGTACCTTTCTCCCTGCGTCTCCTGAGAGTTGGACGAAATGCACCTCTTCTGCTGTGAGGTTATCTATCCCCTCATAGATATTAGCGTTGGTGAAACTAGTTGATGAGGCACACTTGCCTTCAACTGGTGCACAACTGTCTTCACTACTTGGCTCTTCTGGTTAATTAAAAATAATACATACAATATCGCAGAGCCCTACATGTACGCATAAGGTGTAGATCATAAAAGGTAGCACCTGTTGCCTCCAGGGTAACATTCAGGACCGCGTATTATCTCCTGCGGGCTTTCAGCTCTTAGCGTTTTTTTTATTTTGCATAACCTACAATTCGCCATTTACTATCCAGTGGTCGCAGTAGTCCATACAGGTCGTACATGGCCTTCATATACTGCCTAAGGTCTAGTAAGATACCGTACCACCAATACCATAAATATTTATATATTATTTGATTTTTATAATAGTTTTTTAGCAAACAAAAATATTTTGGTGATAGACTTTTTTTAATTTAAAACCTCTACGATTCTCAAAATCAATGTATTGTACGAACCGAAACCTGCACGTGCAAAAGATCCACAAAGCAAAAATAACAAATCTCAGATCGGTGGAACAAGTTATGAACGATTTATTGGAGAAAATAATATTAGAATAGATAACCCCATTATATTTGGTTCAGATAATGAATCGTTTCCGTTAAAATGGATGAAATTATTTGGAAATCATCGAAGATAATGTACCCCGACGTGACCGCCGCGTTACTATTATTTTGATGATAACGGCAATGTTGAGCGATTGAGAACCAGTTTAATACTGTTGAAAAATAACATTATATTTACGAATTTACATTTTTTAACCTTAGCATATCATTTATTACACAATGATCTTCCGACTTAGGAATAGGATCCTATTTGTATAATCGTAATGACTACATATATAGAAATAACAATAATAACTTTTTTTCATTTCAACTAAAAACCTTAATTAATTGTAATGTATTAATTGGTCAAGCGGACCACGAAAGTAGTGAATTAATAACAATAATGTTTAATCCCATACCGTGGAATGTTCGCTTTTACACAAAGCTAAGCATTTTCCTCAGTGCCTCTTCTCGTACTTCTTTATCTTGGGGGTGATGATGGTGAAGATGATGGGGGAGATTTTGTATTCCCCATGCTCTGGCTTATTGTAATTTTCCTATCCATATAGTTGACTCAATCTTTTTCTTAAGAAGTATTAGGTCATTATTGTCATTGCAGAAATTCTTTTCCACCGGATTTTTTGACATGTTGTATCTCCATTGAGCGATTGCTTTTGAAAATTAAAAAATAAATGTTATGTAAGTATAATTGTTAAAAAAAATGAATTACTAGTTTGCTCACCACCAAAAATAGCGTACCGTCAGATTTTTTAGGGCTTATTGTGGGATTGATGCAGATTATAATTCTTCCTTCCACTGCGATCTATACAGGTCTATTGTGGAACCCTTATGGCTTATTGCCGTACCTTGGAAAGTGCGCTATTCCTTATAAAACTGAGTACTTTCCTTGGTGCCTCTTCTTGGATCTCCTTGGGTGTGAGAAATGTCCTACAGACGTGGCTGTATCGTCGACGGGCTAACGTCTCAGCATTGCCCATCTTTTTAAGGTGAAAGTTAAGAGGACAGTGTAGAAGCCAACAATTGTTCTCTCATCGTGCCTACTGAGAGAGAAGAGTTTTTTGCTTTTCGTTTTGAGATGTTCATAAATCTCTTAGCTGGAGTATTTGTCCATTCTTTGAGTTTTTCTTTCTCAATCCATTTTTCCATTTCCAACTTAAGCACACGCTCTTGAGTAGTTAGTTGTGGTTCTGGTTCCATGGGTGAGAGGGCTGCCCCTTTTTCGGCTAGTCGGTAAGCTTGTTCATTTCTTTCTATACTTTCAAGCACCGGAACCTCTTTAAAGTAATCTTGGTGTGTTTTCCTAGAGCCATTATTAGGCACTCCCAGACAAGTTTGTAGTTGAAAGCTGCGCATTTAGTGCCTTTATTGCTGCCTGGCTGCCTGAGAGTGTATGTGTATATCTGTGCACCTTTCATATTTTTCTGTATTAACTCATGTGCCCATAGTTGTATTGCACTTCAGCTTGGAAAATTGTTGGGGCTTCGTAGGGTATAATTCGGTCCTTTTACCCCTAGGTCTACTCCCAGTTCCATCTTCGTCCCACCTGTATACCATATTAGGGCTCATTCTTGAAAATTGGGGCCATCTTTCTTCCAAATCTATTTCTAAGACCACTTGGAATGGACTGACAAAGTTGAGTTTTTCCCTCATTTTGTCTATCACCGTTGTATTCGTCAGCTTTGTTTTATTTATTATGTATTTAACAAACAACACATTAGTGATGAAACGTATAAAATTTGATCCACACAATTGAACATGTTATTTAATTTTTAAAAGCAATCGCTGTTTTTTCTTACATTTTCTGCAATTTTTTCTTTCATGTACCGACTTTTTTTAAATTTACGTCATGCAGTAGTAAAGTGGCATATTCTCTCGTTTTCCGCCCAATGTCAACAACTAAAGGGCCCAGATAAGCCGATTTATCTTGCAATCATACAATTTAACGGGTGGATCGATTATTTCCTTGTTTTTTTTTTGTTTTTGTTTTTTTACCTCGGCCAAGGATGATAATTTACCTTATTTTATTATATGTTTCCTGGAATAGAACTAACCAATCAAACCGAAGGTGTAAATATTGATTCAAACTCAACTTGACCTCATGATAGTATTTGTATTTGACGAAATTTAAACCAACATGTTATGAGTGGTTCACGTTAGACTGATAGGTAAAGATAGATAATAATTTGAGTTGCAATTTGATTTCTAAAAATTTTAACATTCTATGAACATTCCATTAACATCCATTCAGAATGATAATGAAGTACTTTCGACCTTACCAAAATATCAACATCCTCAATCGTCTCAAGAAACCTAGGCATAAATCTTAGCATAAGAAATTAAGAAACAAAATACTATACACGATGAAAAGCGGATACTTTCTAAATAAAAAAGTCAGCCTCCTTGCATTAAAAGAAAGGAATCTATTTTATTCGTTATGTGAAAATTAACTCTTTTTCAAATTTGCTTTGAAAACAATTTATCGGAAAGTTGAACGAGTTTGCTTTCAAGTAGGAAGTTGGCTTACATTAAAGCCAGAAACAAAAAAAATGGCCTCCCTTAAATATGTATATATGTAAATAGTAGTATGAACATATTTCACAGCATTGCATTCAAAATCTCATGAAATCGATGCCAAGTCGAAGCAAGCGATGATCAACGCAAGAGGAGGAAATTTCTCCGTACTGGATATTTTCTTCATTGTTTTCAGAGCAACATTTTTGGGAAAATTTGTTTTACTCAATTTATTTTTATTTTTTGTTTTTATTATCATATTTTTTTAAATATCCAGTAAACAAAAAAAAATTATAACGATTGCAAGTATTTACAAAACATAGGCTGACGACTTTTTTTGCCTCACAGTGTATATATACCAGATGATTGAAGATCGTGAGATGCGGTCTGGTGTGTCGTAGGTCTAAAGAAAAGAATTTTCTTTAACGTGCCAACGTTTCGATCTTTATTGAGATCATCTTCAGAGCTCAACGTGTTTGTTTTCCGTGTAGATGTGTCAGTTCTGTGTGTCGTGCTGAGAGTTCCCAAAAAAGGGGCACAAAAAAAAACCACGACACACAGTAATGACACGTCTACACAGAAAACAAAACGTTGGCACGTTAAAGAAAATGTTTTTCTAAACCTACGTCACACCAGACCGCATCTCACCACACATTTACGCACGTATATACCTTACATTGTATTTTATATTCAATTATTATTCAAATATTATTCAAAAGGTGGGGTTGAGATGGGAAGTTAGTTTCGAGTTGATCGAAGTCACGATAGCTCAAGTGGTAGAGCTGCATTTAGCCGAAGGTCGTGGGTTCGAATCCCGCTTGTGACACTGACTTTTTTATCTCAACCAAAATCTTAAATAATTGAAAAGAATTTATTTGGTCAAGCGGACCACGAAAACTAGTGAATTTAATAAGTTAAATGAAGTATATCTTCACTAAAGCTCTCCGTGGCCATTTCATTTGTTGCCGAGAATCCAATCCGATTACACGACATTTGAAAAATGGCAAAAAGGAGGGTAAAATCTAAAGGTGGGGTTGAGATGAAGTTAGTGTGGATCGAAGTTACGACAGCTCAAGTTGTAGAGCAGCGGCGTATTTAGCCGAAGGTCGTGGGTTCGAATCCCGCTTGTGACACTGACTTTTTTATCTCAACCAAAACCTTAATTAATCGAAACAAACTTATATTTTATGTCCTTGGAACTAACGTTCTTACCAAAATCATACGCCTTGAATGGCTAAGTAAATTAATATCCCCTGCCAATTAACCGTTTAGCACTAAAGGAAACATAACCAAACTTCTAAACCTGTAGACAACATCATCAACTTATCAGAGTGTTACACATTAGTTTGGTAGGATAAGCGATGGAGTAGATAAAAGTGAGATATGCTTTGAGAATGATTTGGGAAGAGACACGTCCAGCTCCAGTAGCTCCTGCTCTCCCACATAAGCTTCGAGAAGGTGAAAAGTCGGAATTGAGTAAAAGAAACTATTAATGTAATATTACCCGTTCGTACCTCATAATCCCAAGATAGCTAAACTTTGCAACACTCCTATAATATAGCTATTATAATAGTCTTGAAACATGTTTACATTTGCCATTAACAACACTTCACGATGAATGATAACATTAATTAACAACATTGAGGAATAAATTGCTATTACATCTCCTTTTAAAAATGCCGAATATAATTCTATAATTGAATTTGGGTTAAAAAGGTATTTTAACGAATTCATTTTTTCTACCATGCAATTAATTAATACATATATTACATCAGTAGGTAGAAAATTGGTTTATCCGACTTTGTGAATTCAATGACATTTTAAAAATCAATAGAATTAGTATTTGCCAAACGAGTTTTAAGTTATATAAAGCCGATTAGTCAAGATGTTGTACAAATTGCATCAGTGCTTACAACCAGTTCAGACGTGCATGATCCCTTATGAGGACAGGATAAATTTTTCTGTTCTTTCGTTCATCGGGATATTTTCAAGCTACCTGACAATAGTCAGTTGTAAGCATTGTACTAAAGTACACAGGAAATCGTGAAGAAATTTAAAAAAAATGGAAATAATTAATCAGAAGATTGTATCTGACTTTTTTCAGAGCATTTAATTTTTTTTTAAATAAATATGAGGATGAGACGATCTCCCGGCGAGAAAATAAAGTAGGTCAGTTTGTTGGTTGGTTGTGACCTATCAAGTGCCAGGACAGTTAGTATTTATTTTCTTACTAATGTAAACTTTGTATTGTACTTATACAATAAAATCCCAAAATCTCAAACGAATCCAGGAAATCAAGTATGATTTTTCATCAACCACCTTGGAATGCACATACACTCACTTTGTATGATAAGTGATATCGTAAATCAAATTTTAAAAAAGCTTCAGACCCACAATCGAATCTGATAAAATCTTAAAATATTTATACATTGAAAAACTGCAGTGAAAAACGAGGTAAATTTTTTATTGGTCAAATTATGCAATGCCATTTTAATTGTGGTTCCTTCATGATAAACCTATCTAAACATGTATTAATATACTTTTTCTTTTTATACTTTTTTTTAAGTGACCCTGATAATTCTTTACTAATCTTGAGTAAGGAGTCTGACTCCTCAGTAGAAAAGATAACCTTTAGACTGAAATGAATTGATTGATGGGTACTCCACGGAATAGTTTTTTTTTCTTTTACAAAGATGTCCCTTTTTCCTCACATATCTTAAATGGGGTTTATCACAATACGCATTTAGGCCTCTTATAATCTTGTAAATCTACCAAATTAATTTAATTTACGATAAAATAAAACCAAGTTAAAGCGGTGGTATTCATTTGTTCAGTTTACTCTCTGTTAGTAAAACATGTTTATCAAATATTTTTTAACAAAAATTTACAAGTTTGCCTTCAAAATTTGTTTTTATAAGATGCGCTTATTGCTCAGTACATGTAGTACGCCAGAAGTTCACTTTGTGTTTTTGATCATAAACGTTATCCTAAAAGGAAGTAAATTCAATTACCTTCAATTTTCAGAAAATGTGAATAAAATTACCACTTAACACTTAAGTATTATTACATAGTATTACTTATCTCACATTTTAAAGTGTATTGTAGTATAATTAAAATCTACTTGAAACCATGTGATAATCATTTTTATCGATGAAGATACTCTTCAAGTCAATGCTATTTAACGTAAAGTCAAACTTCATAACTTCTAACGTCATGAACGTAAAGTTAAACTTTATTATGTACAAAATTATAACAACTTCTAGATATGAAGCCATTCCTTTCTATTGAGCATGGCAATCGAGCCTGATCTGGATGTTTAAGACAGTCTTTTTTACCTACTACCTGATCCTAAAACCGATCAGATATTTTCAAGCCATCATTGGCTGGTTCTTCTTTATCAGTGACTAGCGATCTATCGTAAAAATAAATGCATTACCCCAAGGACCATGCATTCTGCACAACATATACTACAGCCATTCCTACCATTTATGAAACTATCCTTACCAATATGCGGATGATACGGCCATCCTTTGTTCTCATAAAGATCCCGTCATCTCATTCTAAAACATACCTATATCACCTCCATTGAGCAGTGGCTCAACTAAAATGACAATCAACGTAGAAAAAAGTAAACATGCCACTTTTACCTTTCGATGAATAACCACTGCATCCATCTACTACAGTAGTATCCCTCTACCACTAGTTGAAGTACTCCACTCCTAAGGTAATTATACATAAAAACTCTTTACAGTCTTATTAAATAAGGGGGCACTCTCAACACGACACGCAAGAATGGCACAATTACACAGAAGACGAACACTTTGAGCCCTGAAGATGATCTCAATAAAGATCGAAACGTTGGCACGATAAAGAAAATGTTTTTCTGAAACGTACATCACACCAGACCGCATCTCACGATTTCTGAATAATTATCGATTAACGGTCACTAATCACCACACATTAATTTTTAAGTGGAGCAACGGATTTCGAAGCAAAAAATTTGTCCCCAGCTTGGCTAATTCAGCCAAAGAATGTCTATTTTTGTTTCCTATGAATATTCGTATTTAATGCTTTTAGAACTTTTACATGCTTAATCTCATGAAAAAAAATTTCCATTAATGCCCGTGATCCCATGCATGAAGCCTTCCATTATTGTAATACAACTAACATCAAATGGAGCTCAAATTAACACTAACCATTTTTAAATTTGATTTCAGAAAAAATATCATGCGTTCAAATCCTGAACGTACTCGTCTTCTTCAGCTTTATGGTCAACTATATGCTGAGGGTGAATATAACAATCGCTATTGTCGCTATGGTGGACGACAGCAATTCAACAACGGTTGCAACCAATGTAAGCGTGAGTTTATTATTACATTTCTCTTCTACATATTTCAATAACGTTACATAAAATTCTTCTTCTTTATTCTCATTCAATATATATATATTTAGATTAATAAATGTTATGTCTGTACTTATACTATAAGTAGGTCCATAAGGCTTGAAAGAAAAAGAAAAACTTTGTTTATTATGCATACTTGCTTGGTTCGGCATACACAAGCTATTTGACACAGTTGGCTAATGGAATGTAACTTCACTCCCTACATAATAAAAATAGACTTATCGCATATACAGATAATTAACATTTTCTCCAGTGCTGGTGTTCGTCAAGGCTATATCCTTGGACCCATTATGTTATTGGTATATTTTAGCACGATACCTCGCCCGAACAATGTAGCAGTGGCTTTTTACGCAGAAGTTGTCGCTCTATACTCTTCTTCTTAATAAAATTATTCCTAATAAACTGGTGGCGATAGATTTCAATAAATTGGGGTGATAATGGATCATAAACTAATAAATTAATTTTATTCCCCATGTTAATGATTAATATTTATTTGAAGATCGTGATACGCGGTCTGGTGTGATGTACGTTTTAGAAAAAAAATTTCATTTTCATGCCAACGTTTCAATCTTTATTGAGCCCTGAAGATGATCTCAATAAAGGTCGAAACGTTGGCATTAAAAAGGAAATGTTTTTCTAAAACCTACGTCACACCAGACCGCATCTCACGATCTTCAAAAAATTATTAACTAACGGTCACTAAACACTGCACGTTAATGATAAAGTGAACACTTGAATGACCCTCACCAGTGTAGTCTGTCACCGGCCGATAAACTTCTGTACAAGGTTGTGATCAGGCGGATGCTCCTGGAGTTCGACATGCAGGACTAATATAACCAAGCTGCAAGTTAGGACAATTTCTTGTAACAACATCACCATTGGTGTCTACTGTCATGTGTGACATATTTGGACTTATTGACATTAAGGTTTTAGTTTATCACAACTAGCCCAATGAACTATACTCACAATATTCTGATTAGTCAATATTTATTTTTAAATTAATCTATTTAGGGTTTTTTTTATATTAGTAGGGTGACGATTTATGACCGCTGATAAGGATGATCTGGTCGAGTTAAAGCCATCTAACGGAAATCTTATTTCGTCCCAGAAAAATTATTGTGTCCAGTAACCACAATTTTATTGTTATTTATTTTGCCACTTTAACATTAATATCGAGGAACACAAACACCACTAAACGAGTCTAGTAGCTACCCAGTGATATTCGTTTTAACAATAAAATATTATCCTCGCTTTCTGAGAACAAGTCGCGTGTCCATTGCTTTTTGACGTCAAGGAGTATTGTTGTTGGGAAGTGACCGTGCATCTAGCAACGTCTTTATGTATTCTAACACCCAAATTTCGACCTAGTTAAACCTTTAGACCCCATACCATCAATTTTCCAAGCTGAGATCTGTACACAATAAATACTTAAAAAAGTATTAAAATGTGCACAGATATACATATGCTCAGACAGCCAAGGAGAACTTAAGGTTTTAAACTCCTCCACCTTCAAATCAAAACTGGTCTCGGAATGTCCGACATATCTCCGGCTCTTGAGAAACTCCGATATGAGTACCAAGAAACGAAAGGATTGAAAGCGACGAACAGGTTAACAAACTAGCAAAAGCAGCTCTCACACCTTTTGGACCGCAACAGCAAATTGGCACGCCGCAATAAGCGCAGAACTGAACAAATGTTGGAGACAGAAATGACCACACAATGGATGAATTCGTCAATATCTCAACCAGGAAAACAAAAATCTACGTCTATCTCAGTAGGCAAGAATTGAGTAAATAATGCCTTTGCCAATTTAATTACCACTTCAAAAAAATGGTAAAACAGAGACAAAAACATGCCGACTCTGTCATAAAGAGGCAGAAACATCGGAACATAACCTTTGATAGGTATTCAGAAATCGTGAGATGCGGTCTGGTGTGATGTAGGTTTCAGAAAAACATTTTCTTTATCGTGCCAACGTTTCGATCTTTATTGAGATCATCTTCAGGGCCTGGGATTTACAAACATTCAATCAAATGTAAGAGTCGTGTAAGAGTGCCAGTGAGATTTTGCTGTTTTAAACTCTCAACACGACACGCAAGAATGGCACAATTACACAGAAGACAAACACTTTGAGTGAGTAGAAATACTTTGATTGAATATAAAAAATATATTTTCCATTGTATAAATTCACTTTTCCACATCCTAAATGTATTTGTTAAATGTAAACAATATTTGTAAATCCCAGGCCCTGAAGACGATCTCAATAAAGATCGAAACGTTGGCACGATAAAGAAAATGTTTTTCTGAAACCTACAACACACCAGACCGCATCTCACGATTTCTGAATAATTATCGATTAACGGTCACTAATCACCACACCTTTGATAGGGCAACAAAGCATAGCACGGAATATGATTTAGCCATCTTCTTCGGAAGGGCGATATTAACGCCTAAAGAAATAATTGAAGAAGGAGCCCGGAAAGTGCTAAACTTTTTAAAGGTGTGCACTTTTCGAGGTTTGGAATAAAAGGTCAATTGTAAATCTTTTAGTACGAAGTGGAAGAAAGAAAGGATACTTCGGTCATCAGTAAATAAAAAAAACGACTTTAATAAAAGATTAACATCCCTTTTCAGTTAGATCCACTGACCACCTAAATGAAAATTTCTGCGATTGTTCTTTAACCTTGTTTAAAATCAGATTAATGATTAGTTTTACTTATTTCCAATAACAATTATGTAAAAACTCGATTTTTTTTTAAATTATTCTTCTTGTCATAAACGTCGTGTGTCCCTCTTGTGTTGTTCATCTTATTACTGAAGTGTTGCATTCCTTCTATTGCACAATTTGACCTATGGATTGGATATTGTTTACACGACCTTTACTTGCTTGTTTGCTACCAATATTGGAACAATACGAAGATCAGAATAGAAATAAGATGAACCTATCTGATAAAAAAAGCTTATTAGGTGTTTTCTAACCAATACAAAACAAAGAATTGGTAGTATTCACTCCTAGGAATCGTTGTTCGAAGCAGATAGAGGCGTGTAAATTAATACATTACAATTGCCGTACAAATCGGAGAAGCAATTAAAATAAGATCGTGGTCAAGTCTTTGACGAGTACGAAGTTCAGCTTTGGTTTTCAAGAGCAGACGTCGACCGAATCCTCTCAAGTGCCCCACGACCTCCCCTAATTGCCACCTCTAAGCTATTTCGGCCCTGATTGTTTATTGAACGTCTTTTTGTTTTTCAATTTCTAATCGAATGCTTCTGATTAGGAATTCAGGTTAATTGTATTTTTTTTCTTCTTTCTAACACCTAAAAACCAAACGCTAGGTCTTTGAACTATGTTTTTTACAATGAAGCCTTGGGTGTAAAAATATTTTTGTTTATAAAGTAAAATAAAACTTACAGGGATTTTGTTTGTCAAACTATAAGTCAGTATTTTTCAACAATTTGGCCAAGCTTTGAAGTTAACAATAAATTTGTAACGATGCCTCTTCTTCGAGTCATTTAGGGGCACAACCTTTAAAAGTGGGGTCACTTTGTCACATTTAATGTAAATAATCTGTCATGTGGGGTAATGGCAGGGCTGTAAGCAGAGATGAGACAAGACGCAGACTCCTCCAATTTCTGGAAATTCAACATGTAACAAAGTTAATAAGCAGGACCTATACACAGCAATGGTGTCATTCTTTTCCCAGTTGATAAAAGATATCCTGCTATTAAAACTGCATATACTTTAGCGGACTGTTGACTTTTAAGTATACAATAAATGCTAATTGGCTTCAGCTTATTACAAAATACCTTCTAAGTTTCTCCAAACTAAAGGTATACATTTTTTCGAACAGCTGCTCTACCTTTGAAAGGGATAGCCTTAAAGTACAACTAGATACTCTAAAATATTCTTTGGGGATTTCATTTATAATTTAAAAACTACTAGTATCCTAATTTCACACCCTAAAAAAATTATGGTCACTTTCTCACATTTACTGTAAAAGATCTTCAGATATCACCTGTCAGGGTATAAGCAGAGATGATGCAGCGGAGGTGTCTTGTTTTGCTTTATCCCTATGGCCAAAAACAAGGTATTTGCGGTAAAGACTCCCGTGTGTATCCTTCTCGCCCTTTTCCAGGAGTAGATCTTAGGATGCAAGAGCCTTCATAGGAACAGAGGATATCTCCCACTGTTTCTTTTTCTTCCTGGCATTCGTTTCTGCTGACCCAAGTCTATACATATATCTTTACAACATTCCTGTCGTTTTAGTCCTAACTTTAGTTTCTGCTTGATGCTGATGAACTTTTTCGTATGCCTCTGTCCTCGAACACAATCTCATTGAACCAAGAACTTAATCTGGATGGATCTACGTTTTTGGCAATTTGGTGGCAACAAAACGGTTCAGGGCCGATAGTGTCCTGATCGAACTTTCCTTAGATCTAGCTCTAGTACCAAAACAATTGTGATTTCGTTGTTTTCTGCAATGTATGACAGGGCCTTGATGCAATCCCAAACGACTCTGAACTTTACTGCCTATGGGGTCTCTCAGTGCCCGACTAGGTGGCTATCTTTTGTCGGTAATTCCAGTATTTTGATCTTTCTGGCAGTGTTCAATAGTCAGTCTCCGCTTGTACTTCCACAGTCTTATATGAACGTCTTTGGTTTATTTTCATTGACATCAGCTCCGGACCTCGATCTTATAGCCATCTATATGTATACCAGATATTGTCAATATTAACTGGAATCCGATTCACTCAGTCTGCTCTAGCTTGTATTTTGAATTGAAATTTTTATCAATGTAGTAAATACGATTTGAACTTGCTTAAAGTGTAGTTCTTTAAGTTCTTTTCGTCTTTGTAGTTCCAACATGGCGTGCATTGTTTCGAATAATGTGTTCAGTCTGAAGCCCTCATAATTTTTTCCTTCGATTTCTTCGATATACTTAGTTGAATGATTTCGACCACAAGTATCTTCAATCAAGCCACAGTGGTTTCCCATATTAATTGGCTGACGTATTCTCTAAAAGTTGGTCGTTACTGACCATTTTGGTCTGCCTACCCTCGCTGGGTTGGTCTGTCAGACGTGTTTCAGTATTTCACTATCTTTCATTGGCCATTCAATGGCGTGGCCATTCAAAACACTATACCAATTAAAAAGAAAAAGGACCGACGACAACAAAGACCGATGGAACAATGAAAAACCCAGACTTAATACATATAAGACACTGACAAAGACAACGCCAATACATTACCCCACCCCTCACGACCTTATAAAAGAAGCTTGACTTGACATAATTAAAAGGGTTAGATGTGTTGGCCACTTTTTTAATCACGAATAATCTGGATCGCTTAAAGGTGTTTACAAATTGACCTAATTAAGTTTTTAATAGGTGGTTTCAAATTTCTTTGAAGATCGACTCGGTCCATCGCTAAGGACTAATCTAATTAAGACACACTGAACGTATGTCCAAATAGATGGGTCACTGACTACTGTACCGATCCAATCCACACCCATTTCCAGTTTCCATTTTCCAGTCATATCGTTTACCATGAACAAGGAGGAAGTAATCGCAACAGTTTTTACCATTTAGTTCAAAATCAAAGAAGGAAACTACCTACTAACTATTATCAAATTATACCTTTTCCCAAAAAACATTAAGTTAATTTATTGTGTAACCAATTTAAGGAAAAAGTAATTGTATATTCTTTGAAAAGTTACGTAGGTCTGCGAATCATATACGAACACATTTGGGCCTCCGCAGAGATACTCGATCAGCTGAAAAGCAAACAAAATTTCTCGGGCGTCAACATTTATTTAAGGATGGAGGAGCAAACACACCTTGTTCATATGGTATCAGTTACTCAAGGAAAAAAGATGGTTAGAGATACTCATCTCAAAAAAGCTATAAGCCCCCACTAAAATTATGGGCCACCATTGGATTTTCCACATCAACCTGGACATATGTTGTGTTATTTGATGTGGTAGCCGAGTATCAGGCACGGAAGCTACCTACATTTGCCAATTATTTATAGCAACTTGGTCTAAAATTGATTAAATTTGGCACAGATTCCACTAATAATAAAAATAAACATTATGTCAATGTAGCAAGTACCTATTATTTTGATTAATTTGTCTTTTTTAATGCATTGGTTCGCCTGGAATTGAAGCATGTTCGTACATAAAACGCTTAATGTTGTATTACGATTTATAGAACTGTATATTTACTTGATTATTACAACAGCGTAACAATACAGTTTTTGTACTTATCTTATATAAAGTCTGCTGCAACAACTTAAATTTAAAAGTATCAAGCGAATTGTTAAAAGTTTAGTTTTAAAAAATATGTGAGCACGTGCGGTGATAAACATATATTCTTATCATGTTACAATGGTGTAATTTTTTTCCAACTTAATTATACTTTTTATCTAAGGTCTTGGTTGAGATGATTTTCAAACGTTATTCTTTACAACAACAAAAATATTAAAGTTTTTGTCTCAATAAAATTATTTTAGACAATTTTAAAATACAGTCATTTGTCTAGCGCGCATTCAGTTCACTTTTTGAACCGGTTCTGACAATAACATGGACATAAATCATCAATTGAATTGACAGCAGAGGAGCGTCAATATTACACGCTTTTCTCCATCGTTCTTCATTTCAAAAGGAAAAGATACACACAGTACTAGTTAAATCAATTGTACATTTGCTCAACTTCCGTCTAAATTGTATAATAAATTATTAATACTAAGCCAGTACTAATTTGTTTCCTTAGAACTGAAAGGGTGTTCTCAAGGGTAAGAATTAGGACCGTGCTTTAATTTTTCAGCAATATAAGTACAAATAAGTTATTAACGAACTTCGACTTCTCTGATCCTCTCAACATTTCATAGCTTCTGAAGTTATTTTGTTTCCTATGTGCTTTATTGATTTTCACAATTTTTGGGCTTAACCAACTTTGAACTACAACCCCAGAAATTACATGTTTACATATAATTTCTGTTGAGGTAATTTTTACTTAGTAAGATTTACAAAATTTCATTCTTTTTCTCTATTTGAATAATATTAGTTATTAATTAAGGTTTTTAGTCGAGATAAAAAAAGTCAATGGCACGAGCGGGATTCGAACCCACGATCTTCGGCTTGATACACCGCTGCTCTACCACTTGAGCAGTGGCGAATCAAGCCGAAGATCGTGGGTTCGAATCCCGCTCATGCCATTGACTTTTTTTATCTCGACTAAAAACCTTAATTAATTATAATATATTAATTGGTCAAGTGGACCATGAAATTAGTGAATATTAGTTATTTTATTTATGGTAAAATTAAATATTATTTTAATTATGAAGTAATATGTAGTTACAAATGTCAAGACTTATTATCTAATTATATATTAAAAAAAAGCAAACATATTTTAATAATAATGTCTGAATGTAATTTTATTAGTGTGAAGGGAGGGGCTTTTCTCCAATTACCCTGAGCAATATCGAGTACTCTGGTGGAGTATTCATGTGAATTTAATTTATTAGAAATGTGTGGAGTTTAGTGACTGTTAGTTAATGATTATTTGGAGGTCGTGAGATGCGGTCTGGTGTGACGTAGGTTTTAGAAAAACATTCTTTATCATGCCAATGTTTCTATCTTTATTGAGATCATCTTCAGGGCTCAAAGCGTTTGTTTTCCGTGTAGATGTGTCATTCTTGCGTGTTGTGTGGAGAGGGCCAGTGACTTTAATCTATGTATATTTAGCAGTCATAATTGACCATATCAATTACTTCAATTAATTATTCTTTTTATCTAAGGTCTTGTTGAGATGAACACATGACACTAACATTTTCATCTCAACCAAGAACTTAGATAAAAAGTATATTAATTTAGTAATTTATTAACGAGTATGAAGGGACTTTTCCCCAACTACCTCGAGGAATATAAAGTACTCTGTGGTAGTATGAACAAACTCTGGTGTGGGAATACAAATTAATTTGCTTGAATGGGGGTTATCCCCAATCACCTCGAGGAATATTGAGTACTCTGGGGTATGAAACCCTGAAGTACAGAGAGGCTAGAAGTAGGATAAAGAAAATAGCGAATCAGTTATTGTTTATCACATAACAACAAAACTTGGCTGGAGAAACTGGAAAATAAATTAGTAAAATTAAAACACGAGACAGGCAAGAAAAGAAAAGTAAAGAAAGAAAGAGCTGATGATGTCCAATGTGGTTTGTTGGCCTTAAAACTTGAAAAAAATTTAATTTTAAAGTAATGACAATATCTACTCCATATCAATTATTATACAAATGTTAATTGAAGGAATCTCATGATACAATGTTGACAAGAAAATTAATATATTAATTTGTTGATGTCGTGAAGAGCAGTCAGGAATATAGTATTTTATTTATATTCATGTAAGATTCCACATCTGTAGATTATTATGTATATTTTTTGGACTTTTTTTATTTTCCTAAAAAAGGATTTTTTTATATTGCAGATGTGATCCACACAAAGCAAAAAAAATGCTGGTTTATTTGTGACAATTCAAATAAAATTGTAAGAGGATTTCATTTCATCTGCTAGAGGTCATGAAGTCATCAACAAAACAACAGTAAAACCACTAAATTAAAGAACATGGGATATAAAAGTAAAGCCAAAACATTGAAATAAAACTGTACTGTCTATTTAAGTTTTTTTTTCACAACACTTTCACACAAAACCAACATGACATCACCAGAATAGCACCTGAAGATGGCCCAAATAAAGGTTGAAACGCATCAAAAAAATAAAAAAGGTGCTTTTCTAAACCTAACCTCATTTGTGACCTCACAATTCAACAAATTATGAAACTATAGATCACTAAGAAACATACTTTAAGATTTAAGTTCATTAAAAAACTGATACCTGTGTTGGCATACATATCTACAGTATTTTATGAGAAGGATCGGTTCATAATTTAGCTTAATTCACAGGCAAGAAACTGCAGTTTAGATGGAGTAGACAGATTTCTTTCAATATAGAGATCCTCTTTGACCCTACATTACATAGAAAGCGTCAGTGAATCCTTCATCCAGGGGGGGTGTAATTAACTACTTCCACAAATCACTGAAATTAGAATCAGAAACAAATTGGCAGAGATGTTTTTACTTATTATATTTTTTGGTTATTTATGTTTCTATAAAATTCATATAAGAAAACTCGACAGACACTGTTCTTATATCTAATCATTTTACAGATGAAATTAAAATGCATGTTTTGTTTTAGGAGACTGTTGAAACAACAAAATTCCAATGGGACACCCGCCAGAGAAATCTTATTTATGGATCCTTCTTCTGGGGTTATGTGTTCACTGAGCTGCCAGGAGGTCGTTTAGCTGAGGTGATAGGAGCAAAGAAAGTGTTCGGTGCTAGTCTTTTCATAGCATCCTTTATTACACTCTTTACGCCACTTGTTGCCCATCTTTTTGACTTCATAGGTGTTGTTATCCTTAGAGTCCTAATTGGATTTATGCTAGTGAGTAACTAATTTGTTTTATTTTAAGATCAATACTAAATGTTTTTGTGTCTAGGGAGTGACATTCCCAGCTATGCAACCCATGGCATCAAAATGGATTCCTCCAAAAGACAGAACTAAATTTGTTTCAAACATGATGGGTAAATTGTCTATTACATGAGATTTTTAATTATAAAATTAAATATTATGAATAATTTCATTCAACAGCTTCATCACTGGGAGCTGCAGTCACGCTGCCAATTAGTGGCTTCCTGATCGACTATTACAACTGGGAAACAGTATTTTATGTGACTGGCCTAGTCGGTCTCACATGGTCAGTTGCATGGTACTTCCTCATGTTCGATTCTCCTTCCGAACACCCCAGAATTACTGTTGAAGAAAAAGATTACTTGGAAAAAGCAATTGGCGAATCTAGTACAACAAAGATAGTACGATTCTTAATTTCTGTTAATTTTCATAGAATATTTGTCACTATAGTTTTAAAAAATTTCAGGTGCACAATGTACCATGGCGACAGATGTTAACTTCTATGCCAGTTTGGGCCATCGTTGTCACCCATGCATCAAGTGTTTTCTGCTATTTTACATTTTTAAATCAATTCCCTACTTACATGAAGCATGTGCTCGGTCTTGATATCAAACAGGTGGCATATCTTTTGACTCAGTTTAAGCTTATTTCTGAACCAATACTATAAAATAAATATTTTTTCAGAATGGAATCCTGTCCAGTTTTCCTTATATTGGCAAGTATGTAATGGCTCTCATAACAAGCTACATAGCAGATTATGTGAGAGGCACTGGGAAGCTGTCCACCACAGCAATTCGAAAAATATTCACTACATTCGGTAAGTAGACAGACACAATTAAATTAATTTCAAATATAAAATACAATTTTTTTTACATACACTATTAAAATTGTTTAGCTTTTAAAATGGCATAATCTATTGGTCATTAGTTTAACAAAGAACTAGTTAGACCATGTATTATTTTTAGAATGACAAAAATTTATTCTTGTACAAACCTTAAAATACTTATTGTGTCATTTACCTATTGAAAGGTCCTGTTCTGCTCCAGTTTGCCAAGTTGTTTAATAATTTTCTAATTGACAAGTCTGATGAATTAAAAATTTTGAAATTTGTTTTAGTTTCTCGTGTTGAAAGTCAAAATGTTTATTCTTGTTCTATGTAAACTATGTAATCTGTTGCTGTGTTTGGAAGATTCTATTATATTTTATATGCTTTTCCACCTATACAACAAATTTATCCAATATTATCTAATAAAAAAAAAGATCTCATATTATTACATTAACCGTATCATGTGAAAATGTTTGGATGTTTAGGTTTTTAATATGAACGTAATAATGAAGACAAAAACTAGGGCATTTTACTTTTTTCATATGAGAAGACTAATTTTGGGCTTTGATTCTCATTAATATATCATACATAGAAACAGTTCCATATTTTATTTTTGCAATATAACTTAAACCTTGACTTTTTTAAAATGAAGATTGTAGAGCATACCAGTTATTTTAACTACTGCCTTAATTATTTATTTATTTATTTGACTAATTATTTTAGCTGTTGGAGTGCCTGGGTTGTTAATGGTGGCTGAAGTATTCCTGGGTCAGAGCACAGTGTGGACAGTGACCATTTTTACCCTCGCTCTCACTCTCAATGGAGCTGTGACTGCAGGCTACCTCGGTAATGGTCTCGACATCGCACCAAATTTCTCAGGGACAATTTTCGGCATGGCAAATACACTTTCCTCCCTTGGTGGGTTTGTTTCAACGTACATCGTGGGCAGCTTGACATTTCAAAATGTAAGCTATTAAAATAAACAATAATGAAATATATGTATAACGGATTTAATTAAATGTCAATTTTTTTATAGGAGACATACGAGCGTTTCCAGATTGTTTTCTGGATTTTAGCCGTGATGTATGCTATCGGATGCGTTATGTATTTGGTATTTGGCACAGGCCAATTGCAATCTTGGAACACTCCAAGCTTACCGGTGTCAAATGGAGATGTAAATGGTGAAAAGAAGAACGGTTTCAGTGATGTTGAACTGGCTGAGAAACAGCCTTTGAAACTATGATTTAACTACAATTACTCTGGTATCATCTGCAAGATTTTTTTACTATACAAATAAGGTAATTTTTATTTTTTTAATTTATTCTGAAAACTGCATCATTTTTGAGGATTTTATTTTTTAAAATTTAATCCTATGGATCATTCCACTTTTTCTCGAAACTTTAGTTTCATAGAGTTCAAAGTATTCAAAGAGAAAAGACAAAAGATTTCTCAATGTGATACAACCCACAAAGCTACTTTTAGTAAGTGTAAATGCTTTTAGGTAAATTAAAATGCCGAGAATATTTTTAGCTTTAGGAAGTGTTAGAAATTTGTATTTTTTCTGTTGAAACAAAATAATTACAATGGTATAATATTTAAAAATTTAATTAATATAACACTTGTCAATATCAATAGTTTTCAGAAAATCATTGACTGGACATCATATATGTTTAAAAAACGAAACAGCTAATTTATTTTTTATTTGTCAAGGTGTACCTTAATATTTGTGTTTTTGTAAATGTGAATATTTTACAAGTTAACAGTACTAGAATCTAAAGTCAATTTTAATTAACTATTAATGTCTACTGTTTATTGTATCAAATAGCATACGTTGGTTCATGAAAATGTTTTATAAACATATAAAACCATACAATTAGAAATGGTATTCTAATTTTATTATCTTAATTCGAAAATACATATATATATTTTTAATCAAAAAAGGAAAAATTGTTCCTAAAAATTAGTGATAACATATCAATTCATTTGTATGATAAAATATAGCTTTGTATAAATTAAACAAGATATATAATTAATTATGTTAGTGTTTCCTATTCAAAATATGTATTTATTTTTGAATTTCCATTGGTTTGTTGAATAATTATAAAAAGACTGTGAAAATATTTTTTTAATACGAAATTCTTGTTTTCTTGGAAAAGACGATTTTTTTTTTTTATTTATTTATTTAATTTTTTTTTTGGAAAGCATGAAAAAATTGTATTTATTATGAAAATCATTTTACTTTTTTAAATAAATGTAATATATTGTCATGTGCTGCAAAATAAAAATATATAATTAATGAAGTATATTATCATTATTTCTCTAAAGGCATCCTTTTGTAGGGATTAAGTAAAGATTCCATCCTTATCTCTGTGACCATTTTGGCACCACCATGAGTATGAAGACACCGTAAACTAGCTGAAGTGGCTGTACGATATAGTCTAGTGCTTCATATTCATAAAGGATATATGCTGTCTCATTTCTCTTGACAGAGTCGGCATGATTCTGTCTCTCTTTGTCCAACTTTTTTCAGTGGTAGTTAAGAAAGCATGGCTATTATAGAAGCTTATATTTTCCTGTAAATCTTTCATGTTGACAGAATAGTTCCTTTGTCTTCCTTTTCGAGAGATTTATAACCCTCATATTAGGTTCCTTTGTCCAATGCCTGAATTTTCATTTTCAAGACATTTTTACAGCTCTATTTTGCTGCCTCTTCCTTGGTTATTTGGTCAGCCTGCGCTTTTGGTTTTTACATGTTGCAGAGCCCACCTCATAGTAAGTAGTAGTGTAGTTAGGTGGTAGTTAAGAGGGCAATGGCCTGTATAGAGGCCTATAATTTTCCTCAGATGTTAGATGCTGTCCTGAAAAGTTATGTGAAAGAAATTACGTATATTAAAGCAATGGATAAGAGGCATAAAACATGACAGGCTTCAGAAGAAGGACGACAAAGTAAACAATTCTTTCCTGACATTCCATCCAGGACAGCAATAAAAGATGTTTTACTGTTTAAACTCAGTCTCACCATGATTTTGTCAGGACCCATATATCAAGTATTTCCACAGATACAAAATAAAAGAAACTGATAAACTCATACTGGGCCGGCTGTCCAGAACATCAGAACATTGACCTCATATTGCCCGGTATTGGTAAAATAGATTTCAAGCTCATGATGGACAAAATTACTACTTAACCAACATTTATTTGTTGAATTGATTGTGGGTTTGACTATTATTTTTAATATTTACACACACACACACATATATACATTTTTTTTCTCTCTTTCTTATCTTGTTAAAACTAAAATATCATAGTATTTTATTAACATTTGTAAAATTGCAATTCTAAACAACTTATAAAATTACGTTTTGTCATACAATCACGTTAATTTAAAAAAATCTTTCATGCTGACAGAGTTATACAGATATTAGTTCCTAGAACTAATGAAGGTAGGGTGAGTATGACGATTCGATGATGGGTTCATTTACAAAAAGTGAGAGAAGTTCCTTCTTCATTTTTGAGAGATTTATGAATTTCTTAGCTTGCTTCATAGTTAGTTTTTCTTTCTTAAGCCATTTGTCCAGCTCCAACTTTAGCACATTCTGGTGCGCCTAATTGTGTTCCAATGTGTGAAAGGGCTGCCACTTCTTTGACTACTTGGTTAGTCTGTTGTTTTCATTCTATACCTTCATGTTCTGATACTTACCCTAAGGTAGCCTTGTGCTTTCGTATGTCCGTTAAGTATCCCCAGGCCAGTTTAGAGCTAAACTCAGTTTGTAATATAGTCAGAATCAATCCAAGGGTTTTGCTACAGTGTAATTGGCTTAATTATCTACTCCCTATTCCTATTACGCCCCAAGGGTATACCAAATTTATTTTATTTTGGACGTATTTCTTCCATACCTTATCATAGGGATGATTTGTCTTAAGAGATGTGTTTACACACATCTTGATTTGTTTTATCACCCGATACAGACCTTATGAAAAATTAATTCACTACTTTCGTGGTCCACTTGACCAATTAATACGTGACAATTAATTAAGGTTTTTAGTCGAGATGAAAAAAAGTCTATGGCATGAGAGGGATTCGAAAAAAATGGCAAAAGGAGGGAAACTCATAAGGTCGGGTTGTGATGGGTAGTTGATGTCCGAGTGGATCGAGGTCATGATAGCTCAGGTGGTAGAGCAGTGGCGTATCTAGCCGAAGGTCGTGGGTTCGAATCCCTCTCATGCCATAGACGTTTTTTCATCTCGACTAAAAACCTTATGAAAAATCTCACAACCTGTTTTATTTCGATTTGTAATGTTTTCTGCCTATATCTAATTATTCATGTGCTTTGTTATTGTTTATAAAGACCAACTTTAATATTCTTAGGAATGGTATTGTGTTTCAACTATCTTAATCTTCAGAGGTTGAAGGAAAATGGTAACTTTCTCAGACCTCACCTTAGGTCTCAATTTGGCGATCCAATCACTTCTGTTTAGTAATCAAATTAGTAAAAAAACTTGTTCATATAGAAAAAATCTAACTTATTTTGGTCAGAAGACAACTACAACTGAACAAGGGTGTCTAAAAATTGGTCAAAACAAGGAAATGGTGACAGGACATGCCTTACTTGGAATCAAACTCCGCGATTTGGAAGACAGTGAGCACTTTAAGTCACTAGAGGGAGAAAAGGAGTATCATTGCTCAAAACGTGTTGCTATAAGTCAAGGAACTGTGGCAGTTCCAGTAGTACAAATAACGTAATGAAAGGCAAGAGAAGGGAGAAGTAAAAGCAGAAAGATCATCATCAAGCTGGACCTCCAAGAACTAGTGGTTGAAAAAGTTTTGGCTGGACTAAGGTCAGCCCAAAACTAGACCATAAAGGTAAAATACAATGTAAGTCATTTAAACTAAAAAAAAAACAAATTGTGAAATCACACTGGTGATTGAAGGCAGGTTAAAAGCAAAAATGAAAAAAATATTTTTAAAAATGTGTATTGCACGTAGTATTTTCATTAACACATTAGTGATAAGAATGTATAAATATTAACATTTCATATTCGTCCTCATATTTACACTAAAAACATTTTCCTTGCCTAAATTACAATATAATTTGTTTTTGAAATTTTCAAGAAAATGTTTTTGCAATAATAGCATTACGTATTGAGGCTTTCAGTTTGGATTCAAGAAACGACTAATCTCCTCATTTCTCGTTCCATGTTTTTTTTCAGCTTCTCCTCCTTCCTACTTTGCCGAAGTGCATCTGCCATGGTCCACTTTTCAGTACCCTCTGCCCAGTCACCCTCTCGGTTTTCCATCTCTTCCCAGGACTTAAGTTCACCAGAATCCTTTATCAAAACAAAACATACAGGTTAAATTAGGAGTAAAAATGTGAGATTTACTGAATAATTCACCATTGGAACGTCATCAGGAGCATTGGATAAAATCGATGGCATTTGGTTGTTGTCTTTTCTCCTGACCATCACCTTCATTTGACGTTTTATCTTTGGCTCCATATCCTGGAAGTAGTCAGGTGGAGGTTCTTCTTGTTCCTGTTTGGCCAAGGCGGCTCTTCGATAATGCTCTTCGATTGCCTTTGACTGTCTTGGACTTTGATTTATCTCATCCCATGTATTCCAACTTGTCAGTTCTGGTCCCTGAATAGCAAAAACAAAAATGACAATGGATCTATGCATTTTTTGTGAGCAAAATTGAATAATCACAGCTTGGTTCTGATAGTTTGGCACTATCCCAATGTCTGTTAAAGGCACAACATCCACTGATGATTTCCTCCTGCGACGAAAACAACAAAGTGACCTTTTGATAATAGCAAATATAAATCCAAGTATGCCCTTAAGCCTGTTAAGAATCATTATTTGTCAAATTTGGTTGCATCACAGCAAAATCTGAAATTGAAAATATTGAAAGCATTAATAAATTTTAATAGAAAAATGGGACATTAAAACCACCTGAATTGATCACCATGGTCTAAAAATCCATAAAAAAATGTTAAAAGAAAGGGAAATCCGTAAGAGTAGACCTCATTCTCACATAACTCAGACTAGGCCTAAGAAAATGTGGAAACCTTTGAGGCAAATATTACGCAATGGACTCTTGGGACAAATTTCTAATTAAAATGACTTTCTTGGTAAACTCTGAAAGAGTTTAATTCCAATTTTGCAAATTTAAAGCTGTTCATAAATTAATACTGGGAAAACAAAATCCATTCTGTATTTAAATAAATAAACAAAGCTACAAAAGAAAAAAAAATGTATTAGGTAATATCTTAGATTGGAATATGTTGCACTGTTTTGTCTGGATGAGGTGACCAATGAAAGTCATGAGTTATTAGTGAATAACATCTTAGATTAATGCATTACCACTTAAAGCCTGGATGGAATAGTAAAGAATGGTTTGATACTGGATGGCAAATTCTGTCATGTATCAGATTTAATTAAAACTAAGGATTTCTCAAAAACATCAGATACTGAGAGCTATGATGTGGGAGATGAAAGCAAGGAACCTGGAGCAACAACGAAGCCCAACATAATAAAGAAATGTGTGGTGTTTAGTGACCGTTAGTTAATGATTATTTGGAGATCATGCAGTCTGGTGTGACGTAGGTTTTAGAAAAACATTTTCTTTATCGTGCCGTTTCGATCTTTATTGACATCATCTTCAGGGCCTGGGATTTATAAACATTGTTTAAATTATACAAATACATGTAGGATGTGAAAAAAAATGAATTTATACAATGCTACAAATATTAGACTTATGTGAGTAAAAATACGTTGATTGAGTTTAAAATTTCTAGCAATGTATAAATTCTTTTTTTTTTTCACATTCTACACGTATTTGTATAATTTAAACAATATTTGTAAATCCCAGCCCTGAAGATATCAATAAAGATCAAAACGTTGGCATGATCAAGAAAATGTTTTTCTAAAACCTATGTCACATGCTCCCCTAAATTTATAACATCAAAGGCTGCTGAGGAGGTGTTTACTAAAAAAAATGAAGAAAAGAGAATAATTTTTACCACATATAAAAACCCTATAAAATATATATAAAGCAGCTTTTTCAAACCCCCGCAGCCAAATGAAAAACTGCCCAGCCATATTATCAGTCTATTAGCTTATGTAGTGTATGGGAGACAATAAGAGGTGTTAAATTGAAATGAAAAGAAATAGTGAGACTGGGAGGGAAGAAATACAAGATAGTCAGATTCCATTTCATGCAGGGACATTGAGTCAGTCTTATTCCAACGCTGAGAGAGACGCGGCTGTCATGTTGATAGTCAGTACTGGGTGAGAGTCTTGCATTTAGACCGTCTCAGACTGAGTAGTTTTGTACAACCCGGAGCTTATAGATTAGCTTAAATCAAAGGTAGACTAGCTTTAGAACCTGTGTTCCATAGAGAAAGAGTGTATGTAAATTTGTAACAAGGAACATGTTCTCTTATGTAAATTTTGAAGGAGAATAAAATGTTTGTAAGTTAATTCGCACCTTGTATAAGATATATCACCCAAAATTCAAGATATGATTTTGAAATACTTTTTTACACACAAAATATTTGTAAAAACATGATTTATTGCTACTTTTTGAAACGTTCTTATCCAATCAAGATATTGTCAGTAAAATTAAGCAATTATTTTGTGAATATCAATTAGAATTTATCCTTGTGGTTAAAATGTTAACTGAGGGAAGAGCTAGTGGGGGATCTTTTATAGCAGTTACAAGTGATTTAATTGGTCAAAATATGGTAAAGATTAAAACCCTAAGAAATTTCAAAGTAATGGAAATGGCACTAGAATAGATAGTGAATTGTATCCTCCCTTGTTATTCACTAGCTAGAATATGGATGTTGTGTACGAGGGACTCTCTAGGGAGCTTGAAGATAAGCTGAAGTGTCTAACGAGTTGTATTGTATGTTTTGTCAAGGAAGTCCAAACTATCTACCTATGTCTACTTGTGGCCAATACTGAAATAGTAAGGCAAAAAAAAAGTCCAAACTATACTAAAGGGAGCACAAACTGGGACATTTGATAGACTTCAGTGCCTGCTATCATTATAGATTCCGAAATGCGACATCACTAAACATAACAATACGTCATTGGTGTTCTCTTCTAGGTGCTCGCTGCACCAGATTCTCGAGTTGCTGCAGGTCGTCTCAAAACATCTTCAGTACTTCTGGTGGGCACTATGGAAAAGGTTCTGTCTTGCAGCAATCACAATATTTCTGTCCTACCATTTCCCTTATCATCATACTGTGCTGAGATCCACTACCCAGCCTATTGGCATTTCCAGTCTCTCAGAATCAGGCTAAAGCACCACACTCTGAGAAATGACAACTGCCTCTTCAACATCCACTTGCCAGTGACCTCGATGACTCATTCTCGCAGTAATATTACGAACTTCTAGTTTCAAGATGATATATTTCCTTGTTTAAAGAGAATACAACTGGATTAAAATGGGGAAAAGACAAGAAAAGGAGTTTATTTACAACACGAGTAATTTTTTTTTTTTTTTTTTTTAACGAGGGTTCGCAACAGCAGAGGTCATATAAACCCTCAGGGTGCCGGTGTTTTTGAAAAAAAGCCCATTTGTAAGTATGTCAGGTTCGAATGCAGGGTCGCTGGATTCAAACCTGGGACCTTTACCTTACAGAGATGAGCGCCGTGTCAATGACTAAACCTTGCGGCCACCGACGCCCCTAATTTTATGTTTACTACTCTTAAAAAAAGCCGTTATTAAAAATGAGGATCAACATTGGTTTGGTTTGGGTTTGGGCTTTCTATTTTGTTTTATCCAACTAACAAGACTATATCGGTTAATTCAATTAAAATTAATAGAATAAGAATAATTTACAAATATTCTAATTAATTTTTGAGCAGTTTAGAACAATACCAAGGTTCTTGACAGTGGGACAAAAAGAAATAGGGTGATTGTTAATTGTATGTTTGTTTTTTAAGGTAAATGTTTGCATGAGTGCACCTAGTCTGCCAACACTGGTGATCCAAAATCCAAAATTCTTGATTAGATGAAAGAGTTCAAACATCAAGAACACAGCATCCTTGCCATTAAATTAGTTCTCCATAAGATATCTATCATTTACTGAAACTGCATGCTCTGAGGTAGTGAGCATTTAGTATTAAAATGAACTTTATTTTAATATGAGGACCATTTTGTTTACCCAAATAAGTTCAGGTGGTTTGAGAAAGAATGGGATATTATGCAATTTAACTTATAGTCTAAGACTTAGCACTATTTTTTTGTTAATAGTAATTTTAATACAAAATGTATACGTACATCATAGAATAAAATGAATGTGAATTTAATACTTACGTACTGATGTAACAAAATTATTTTTACGCCCAAAATATATGTTTTAATGGAGTTTAATTCCATAACCCAGTTATTACATCGAGAATAATCTTAAATCCAATTGTATCTATGTCAAGTAATGTAAAAAAAGCGTTTTAATTGAAGTAAAACGCACTGTTTAGACTAAGGATGAGCGAAATTTTAACAAAGTTTGATAACAAAAATCAATGTGTACCTTAAACATGAGAGGTTCTGACAAGGTTATTCAATTTTGAAGTCAAGTTAATATTATTCCTAAAATTTAGGAGATTTGATCATATAAAAATGTCAACGTTTGTTGAAGAAATAAAAAAATGTAATAACATAAATAATATTTTGCATAAAGAATTTAAACAGATCGAGTCGATTTTAAAACTTCCAATAAACTTTGTTTTTTCCGATAAGAGAGATAACAAGAAAATAAGCCCACTGCGAAATTCAAAATAGACAGGAGGATGTGATATCCAATGAGTTAAACTTGGCAAGTATGCTACTTCATCATGTCCATAATCTTTCGCAGGCTTGTTGGTGTGCCCAACATTCATAATGTTCGGTATGTGCATTTTGATTTTAAAACCAAATAAAATCCCCATTTTTTTTTTTTTTTAATTTGAAAACGAGATTTGTTTCAGCTTGTCATGTACTGTGTTTGACGGCAAAGAGGCTTCAAAGTCTATACTTGACTCATTGAAGTTAAGGGTTCAAGAATGGGTTTCGGTGGGCAACCGGCCACCGCAGTTGTCCGTCGTGCTGGTCGGTGATGATCCTGCCAGCCTTGCATATATTAGAATTAAGACGAGGGTTGCAAAGGAAGTTGGTATGATTATTTATTTATTTTAAACCTACTATCGTGTATATTACACTTTTCCAACTTTCCGAATAACAGTTTCAATAAAGTATTGGGTGGTTTTTCAATAATTTGATTTTATTCTTCTTTTCTTTTGAAGCAATTATTATTGTTATTGTTTGTACACACAGGAAAGGGATTAGTTTTTGTGTTTTTTATTAATCAGATTTGTCATTTAATCGCTAGGAAAACTTGTGTTGTGTACTGATGAACTGTAATTTGGTCTGCTTATCACCTTTGTTTTTCTGTCACGTTGCGCTTTGTTGGCCTCTTCCATATTGTTGAAGGCAACCTCATCGCAGTTTGTTATGCCTAAGAAATTATCAAGAAATACATCCTTCAAAGCAGGGATCTCATTGGCAGGGATTTCGATTTCTGGATGACATTGCCAGGCCTCATAGAGGCAGAGTTGTTCATCAATGTTTAGATAAACCTGGGAATTGCCCATCTGCAATGTATTAACTTTCACCGAGGTGTAAAAGTTGCCATCCCCACTAAATTAATAAATAAACTTTAAGTTAAGTATAAAGTAAAAAAAAAATTATTTACACACCAAAGAGCAAAATTCAACAAAATAGAAAAAATTAGCCATGTTTGTTACAACGTTTAAATGTGTCACAAGTAGAATGGATTTGGATTTTCAGCCTAAATTTTGACTTCACTGACAAATTAGGTAAATTTTACCCTAAATGATAGTTTTCAGTCCTGTATATAAAAATTACATAAGTGGTGTGTGCAGTAGTTTTTTTTTTTTTAAATTTAAATTTTACCCTAAATAATAGTTTTCTTGTTTTCAGTCCTGTATATAAAAATTACATAAGTGGTGTGTGCAGTACAGTTTTTTTTTTTTTTTTTAATTTAAATTTTACCCTAAATAATAGTTTTCAGTCCTGTATATAAAAATTAGATAAGTGGTGTGTACAGCACAAAGTTCTATTTTTTTTTTTTAATCAAAAACAAAAGTGCTCAAAAATAGGAAGTTACCTTAATAACAATATTTTATTGATAATGTACTTAATGTACTCATAGAAGCAATTAAAATGAAAAATATAAGCATAAACATTTATAATATAAAAGTCTAGTAATTAGGAATAATTAAATACTTATTCAAACAAATGACCAAAATGTGTCAATTGCTCATTCTCATTTATTTGTCATCAAAACGTTGATCTCATCAGAAACAAAAAAAAGTGTTATAGCTAACAGCCCACAAAAAAAGTAAACCAGAACCATAATTTCTCGACATTTCCTTCAATTTTATTTTGTTTCCTTGTTTTATTGCCAGTTACAGTACCCCAGTAAAAAAAAAAAACAGCCATATCATTTTTCTGTGTAGGTTTTGCATCTCTTTATCAACACACTTTTGAAATTTCTAGCGTAAAGCACTATATCGTCAGTTATTTCTATTTGTGATAAAAGACTAAAATATATTAAACTCTGTATGTAAATCCCGTATAACTCTAGTAGGGCCTGATGAAGTTTTTATAATATTTTTTGATCAAGTTTTATGGGGCACAATGTTGGGATTGCTTATCTATAATGTAATCACATTTTCTGATGAAAAAATATAATCAGTGTCAACATTTTCTACATGATTGAATTCACTAATTTCGTGGTCCGCTTGACCAATTAATATATTACAATTAATTAAGGTTTTTATCTCAACTAAAAACATTAATTAATTGTAATTTTCTACATGTGTGTCTTCATCATCTTTAAATGCTTGTTTTCATCAGGATTATCTTCTGCTTCATTGTCCCTATCCAATGAAAAACTACTAAATCACCATCACATTCATCTGAGAGTTGTTGAAGGACCTCCAAGATGTTTTCAGATTAGTTATTCAAATTTCAGACCTAAAAAGTAAAAAAAAAAGTTAAACTAAAATCATACATGGACATTGGTGTTACTATATTGAAGCTATAACCAAAGAATGATTAAAATATCGCTAACACAAAATAATAAATATTATTATTTATAACATAATTTATCAATATAATTAATTCATTAATTAATAACAATAATCAATCAATAATTAATCAAACAATATAATTTATCTAGAGCTAGAATCACCAAATGTGATACTAGAACTGGCAAAAGCAAAAAAACAAGTGTTTGATTTGGTTGTCCTTCAATGTTATCCAATAAATATTTTAATTAGGTCGAGCTCAATGTAAGGTCCCAGATTCTCAATTTTCTCAATTCAATTGGATTGGTTTTTTCCTTGTTCAGCCATTTCAGCTATTCTTGATTTGTAGAAATAAATAAATGTCCATACCACGGCTTTCACATGATATTGTAGATGAAAGGGGTTGAGAAACCAAACTTGCGCTTAGCAGAAAAATGTAATTAGGCAAACCACAATATTTCTAATTATATTATGTAGAATACTGTTTTGTATTTTGTGATTTGTAGGTATAGGAAGCAATATTATAAAACTAAGCACTGAGACGAACCAGAATGATTTAATAAATATCATTGAAGTCCTCAATAAAGACAGAAATGTTGATGGAATATTAGTTCAGGTGAATATTCCACTACTAACTATTTTTTCAAATTGACAATACCAACTGTTACTATTATTGTTTCAGCTTCCTCTGCCTTCACATTTAAACCAACACATTATAAATAATTCTATAAATCCTACAAAGGATGTTGATGGCTTTACACAGGTTAATATGGGTCGGCTTTGTATGAACTCGGCCTTGTTTGTACCCTGTACAGCAATGGCCGTTGTCAAAATAATAGAGCAAATTGGTAGTATTTCAATTAATTGGGTCTCTTATAATAAATCATTTTTAAACATTTTTTAGGCATTGAAACAAAAGGAAAGCATGCTTTAGTTTGTAGTAGATCAAAACATGTTGGTTTACCTATCGTATTAATGCTCCATTCATCAAGATTTGCTGGTAATTAAATTATTTGTTCAAAATATATCCCTTCATTGAATTTATATCTATATATAGCTTATTTTAGAGGGCATGGAAGGTTTAAACATGACCACTACTTTATGCCATAGGCATACACCAAAAGAACAGCTTAAAAGTATAGCTCAAAAAGCAGATTTTATCATCTCAGCCACTGGTAAAAATTATTGTAAAATAAATCCATTTACTATTAATATTTATAAACTAATGTTTAAAAAGGATTACCAAGAATGTTTACTAGTGACATGATAAAAGAAGAAGCAGTTGTGATTGATGTCGGTATGACAAGAAAATGTGAAGATAGCAAAGTAACATTCGTTGGAGATGTGGATTTTGATGGTATGTGTTGTAAACATTGTCACTTATAAATGATACTCATGGATATTTTTTCAGATGTGAAACAAAAGGCTAGTTTCATTACACCAGTTCCTGGAGGTGTTGGCCCGATGACAGTTTCTTTCCTCATGGAAAATACACTGAAAGCTGCCAAAGTTAATTCAGATTGTAAAAACTGAACATTACCCTGCTCTTTATACAGTTTGCCAGTATTTTGAATAGTATTTTAATTTTGTTTTAATGACAAAGGAAATGAATTTGTATTAATTTTGTTTTAATCTAAAACCATATAAATTAAAATGTATAGATACTTATTAGAGCATTTGTGTTTCCTGGTCTATCCGTTAACTTTCTTCACATTTTCTATCTTTAAACAAGTATATATTTTTATGTAATTTTTGTCATTTATTCACCGTTTTCAGAGGTTGATCAGCCTATTTGGACAAAAGATTACCTACTTAATCGTCTTTTTTCATGGCAAATAGAGGAGCACATAAGAAGGACACTTTTTATCTACTCTATCTGTTTTATTTGCTTTATATATTTATATTTATTATTTTCTGGGCCATTTGAGGGGTGCATATGTCTCTCCTAGCCATTGGCACATTTCCGGATATTCAGGGTTTATGAACAAAACTGAAAAATATATCTAACATTTCCTAAACATCCAGAGTGACACAAAGAAAAGTCCAATTCTCTTCGCCATTGAGCTGTCATTCTTGTATTATCAGCAATCAAAATGACCGGACTATCTTTAACAAGGGAAGGCAAAAATTTTCACTGTTACCAAAATTCTCAGTTGAAGAAAGTAATACATAATAATAAAATAAATTGCTCAATCATTTCATACATGATTATTTTCTTAAATAAACAACAATAAAATGAAGTAAATTTTTGAAAGAAAAGGAAAACAGGTATGAGATGATTTTTTGATGTCTTATCAATAAATACAGACTTCTTCGAACTGATGCCACAAAAATTGAACTATAAGTTACATGAAGTTTGGGGGACCAATTACACAAAATTTGGTTGAAATGTGGATAGATTTATTCTCAAATCTAGAGCAACATCCAGTTTGCTCCTGTTTTTACAATTTCTTATCTGAGCATAAGAAAATGCCCATTTCTCCAAACTGGGTAATAGGTAAATGTCAACAAAATCGCAATTGCCTTTCATGAGAGTTCACAGCCCAAATAGTGACAAGATTGGTTCATGGACCATTGAAGACTTCTTTTAATGTGGTATGAGATGCTAGTAACTTTTCCTTCTTGCACATTAAGATGAATTATAATTAATTAACAAAAAGGCTTGTTTAAAATAATCTTTAGGTTTGATATCCAACAATACATTTCTGGCTCTGGTATTTTCAAATGAGGGTTTCAATCTGCCCAAGTTTTGTATTATATTATCATTAAATGGTTGCTAAACAACACATATTATCATTAATCATTAGATTTAGTTTTTTTCTCTCCCCTAAATGAAAGGTTTATTTTATTTATACGATGAAACATGTCACTCAGGTATGCAAGGCTTGCAAATCAAAATCAAACTACTACATATCACTTTTTAAGCATTATACCATATTTATAATAAAATGTGTGAGCTAATTGAATTTTCAAATAACCAGGATTTTAAAAGAAAATTTAATAACTTGTTTCGTGAACTAGAGCTCTATGATGTGAGGTAATTTATGAATTATGTAAATTAATCATTTTTAAGTATGTACATATGTGTATTTTAACTGCAATAATGAGTTGTGATGCTTTTATACAAAATGTAATAAAGTTCTTTTTTTATTTTTTATTTGAAAATCATGAAATTTGTATTTAAGTTTTTCAAAAATTTTAATCAATTATACAAAACTTTATTTTTTGGCTGGCCATCATAGCAATTTTTTTATGCACCCCTACTAAATAGCTAAATTACTAAATAGCTGTCTCAATTTGTTTGATTACTATAACTATTTTTGACACAGTTATGAAAATTGTTTTATTTCCTATGTAATAATTTGTGCATTATTATTTTATTTACTTAAAAAGTTATACAAGAGAAATACATTAATCTTGAAACCACCAGAATAAATAACTTTTGTAGTGTACAAAATATTCGATTGTTCATTTACTTAATTTTTATATTATTTTGGTCATTTATTTTTTGTTTTTAATTTAAAATGTGTACTGATGTATTATTATTTTAAAAAGTTATACAAGAGAATTAAATTAATCTTGAAACCATCAGAATAAATAACTTTTGTAGCGTACAAAATATTCGATTGTTCATTTACTTAATTTTTATATTATTTTGGTCATTTATTTTTTGTTTTTAATTTAAAATGTATACTAATGTTGTATTATTATTTTATTTACTTAAAAAGTTATACAACATAAATAAATTAATCTTGGAACTACCAGAATAAATAACTTTTGTAGCATACAAAATAATCTGTTGTTCATTTACTTAATGTACTATTTTGGACATTTACTTTTTGTTTTTAATTTAAAATGTATACTAATGTTGTATTATTATTTTATTTACTTAAAAAGTTATACAACATAAATAAATTAATCTTGGAACTACCAGAATAAATAACTTTTGTAGCATACAAAATAATCTGTTGTTCATTTACTTAATGTACTATTTTGGACATTTACTTTTTGTTTTTAATTTAAAATATGTACTGACCGCCAAAAATATAGTAGTGGTTTTGACCACGAGGGTTCAAAAAGGGTGGTTTATTGCTATTTGGTATGTACTTTGTTTTTGTGCGTTCTCAAGTTTCGTTATATATTGTTTAATATCAAACAACCCCATATATTGTTCACCCACTCTGATTCTTTAAGACGGACTCCAAATCGTTTAAAATAAGAATGGGCAAAAAGAAGTAAAACAATTAATTATCATTGACCATGGACCAATTGCTCCAGAGTTGGCATGATTTACTGCCAAAATGCCTAAATTTTAGAGATCAAGTCGTCAAGAGATCAAACAAATTCTGCATTATGGCTAACACAAGCACCAAATTGGGTGATCAAGCAAATTTGACTTTTAAGTTTTAATCAAATTTGACCTATCCATCTATTGACAATTTAACTCAGGTAAGTGATGTTATCATCTGATCATGGTAAATACAATTCGCTAACAAAATATCGTATCTTTGAAGGACGAGAGAAATATTTAATTGCTATTTGTTGGTTTCGTTTAACCATCTCATTTACTGAGCGGATTAATGAACAAACGGAAAACAAAATGTCGGACGAGTTCTTAACTTCTTAAAGAGTAAAAACATTATGGTCGAACTCCACCCACCCGCCTTCAACAAATACTAATGAATTATGATTCGTTGCCTTTAAACGGCAGATAAAAAACCACCCCGTTGTCGGAATATTTTGTCACAATCAGACTAAAACTTAACCCGTCGCTACTGCATCTGCCTCAAAATGGTGGTGTGAAGTGTCACGTACATTTTACAGAGGGAGCTAATAAATGCACAAATCCATTCGGTTGGGTCTAAAGTCGTGTCTACAATAAAGCCGTTTTTTTATAATTTATAAAAAAAATAGTAACAAACCCTTCTGATGTAAATGTCTGCTGTTCACGACTTCATACAATCCATATGGTTTGCAGCCAAATTAACATGTTACAGGACCCTATTTCTCTCTTTGGCACCTTAAACTATGATTTATTGTTGAATGAAATGATGCATAGCAAACATCATTACATGGTGAAATCAATCGATGATGATCAATTTTTGTTACCACTTCTTAATGATTCAGCCCAAGCATCAGCCTCTTATATGAAACACCTGCACCTCCAGTTGCCAATGAGGCAAGAAGTTTAGCAGGCAAATTAGCATAGTAAAAAAGGGTATAGTCAGACTCGCACAAAGCTTCTGACATTCCTGATAAATAATTTGCCCGACCGACTTAAAGATTCAGTCAGAAAGAAAATATTTTACACAAAAGATTCCAAATAGCACAAACTAGCAAAGGAACAGGCTTAAGATACAGTTTTACAAATTTTCCTGTAATCAGACACTAACATTTATTAAAATTTATATACTATCATTTTTATTAATTCTTCCAGATCCTATATGATGCCAAATTGTTGAAACCTATTTTTCAACTCTTGATGAACTACACCCTGATATCCACACCTCAACAAAACAAATTTAACTGCCACATTCAAAAATAACCATAAATAACTGTTGAAGGCTTATCGAAACCTGTCCATGTACGATCTGATGTACTGCAGGGCTCTCATTCTGGTCCGATCTTATTTCTTTTATTTTTTAATGACGTCACCTCTGCTCTCATTAATTCTTCATTTTCATTGTTAGCAGACGATTTGAAAATTTATCGCCCTGTCGAATCGTTGAATGATTGTACTCTCTTACAAAATGACGAGTCGCTTTTGGCTTTGGTGTACGCGTAATAATTTGAAATTAAGCAAAAATAAATGTAAGATTTTGAAGTTCAGCAAGAAAAAATAATTCACGATTACGACCAATTCGTTTATAGTATTGAAGGATCACATTGACGAGGTAGATACTATCCCAGATCTCGGGGTTATTTTTAATAAGAATTGTGATTTTCGGGACCATATCCATGCCATTAGAAATAAATCGTTTAAAAATTTAGGATTCGTATTCAGGCAAACTGCTGACTTTAAGAACCCTTTTGCAATAAAATTACTCTATCAATCTCTGGGGTGCAGTCACCTAGAGTATGCCAGTGTTGTTTGGTCGCCGAGTTCTTTAGATGGGTCTTACATGGTAGAAAGGGTACAGAGAAAGGCCACAAAATACCTATATTACAAGTTATGCAATTCCAGGAACAACCATCATTGCTCCTATGAAGCCAGACTTGCCCTAGTAGGCCTGGATTCTCTGGAGGATAGTAGAGTTTTGGCTTCCGTTGCATTTCTGTGGAAGATCCTGAATAATTTTATTGACTCCCCGGAGATATTGACTTGTACTGTCTTTAGGGTTCCCCAGCGTCAACTACAGACCCATGAATTGTTTAGTACTTCACGGCACAGGACCAAATACGGGTTACAGTCTTCAATCTCCACAGCTGAGCATTACTTAAATAAATTTGCTATCAGTGCGGACCCCTTCTCCTCGTCCCTTCAGATCTTTAAAAAAAAAATAGTGAACATACTTTAAAATATAATTGAGGGTTTATTTATTACTTTTGTTGTGCTGTTTATTAATCTATTTATAATAGTGATTGTTTGTTAAAAGTGTAAGCGCTTCTTTGCTGCT